GCACTGGCTGACCGCACTTCCGCTGTCCCGTATCAAAAATCTGCTTTTTGAACAGCTTTGCCAACAGCGTCGGGGCACCACGGGCCTTATTTCCCTTCTTTATGCAGCTTTGAACAGATGCTCGATGCATACTTCTCTCTCATATGTCGCTCAGTGGGAGCACGAGCTGGGGGCAGTTGTGGATCTGGAGGACTGGAATAGGGCCTGGTCACTTATAGCTAAATGTTCATTTAATACTACCAAGCTGGAGGCGGCATACAAAGTATTGTTTAGTTGGTATCGGGTTCCAGCTCGTTTGGCCCCAGTGAACCCTGCCTGCAGTGATCGATGCTTTTGGGGATGTGGCCATCGTGGAGATGTTTTGCATATATGGTGGTCATGCCCGAGACTGATTTGTTTTTGGTCTCATGTATTTGGCCTCCTTTTCACCTTGTTCCATCTCTCCATACGCCGGGATGCACAGTATGCTTTGCTTCATTGTCCCATACCGGACCTCTTGGCTCATCAGCAGAAGTTGGCTTCCTATTTGTTCTTGTCGGACACTAGAATCGCTCAGGCATGGAAGAGCCCGTCTGTCCCTCTTCAGGGTGTGCAGGACCGTATGACCACTCTGATGCTCAATGAGCAGCTGTCGAGTATCTGTAACGACTCCCACTGGAAATTTTTGAAAATATGGGAGCCGTAGTTGACATATGCTTTTCCCACACTCCACCCGGCTAGTCTGGGTTTGTAATGTTGTTCAGTATTGGCGTTCCTGGACCCCTGCTCATGGTCTTGTCTTCTTCGTCCTTCTGTACTCCTCTTTCCTTTTCTATTTTTTTTTTTTTTGAACATTCTTTATTTAAACAGCTTTTTTAGAATACAAATACAAAAATAAGGCACAGGAGTAGATGCCAGCAAATACGACAACGAACCAGGTGCGGTCCAATTGCATAAAAATTCAAATGATCAGTTTTACAAACAGCAAAAAAAAAAGCACACTGGTCTGAGGGGTAATACAAACTGATCTGACAATTATCATAAACAAACAGCAATAGCATCCAAGACACCGATAAAGAAGAGGTATAGAGGGGGAAAGAAGAGAGAAAAAAAAGGGGGGGGGGATGAGGAGAAGGAAGTAGAGAAGTGTAAAAGGAGAACAACGAAGGGACTTCAAGCCACTGATCGCAGCAAGGCAGCATAATCACTTGAGCAAGTAAATAGGGACCAATGAATCCATTCTGGCAAAACTGGGCCTCCTGACCCCGGTTACTTTCCATGAAGTGAATGTATTCAACCCTGGATAACCACATAGAAATAGAGGGGGGGGGGCCTCCTGTTTCCAGAGAGCCGGAATACAGGCCGAGCAGCATTGAGCAAGTGCACCAACAGCACCGGAAACGTTTCCTAGAGAGATCAGAGTGGAGCAACAGATATCCAGCAGGGTCATTCTCCAGGTCAAACCCAGTCAGGTGCTGAATCAGAGTCCTCTTCCGTGCCCAAAAGGTAGTCAGTTTCCTACAAGACAAAAAAATATGTAAGAGCGAGCCATCCTCCTCCCTACAGCGCCAACAAACCTTCAGGGCCTCAGGGAAGATCTTATGCAGGAGCAATGGAACCCTATACCACCAGGTAAGCAGTTTATACCCCAATTCCTGATATTTACTGGAGACGGAGGAACGATGGGTGAAATACAGGACGTGGTCTCTCTGTTTAAACGAAAACGTCCTGTGCAACTCCCACTTGAGAGGAAATGGTGGGACAAACTTATCACCTGGACGATTGATTGAGCGACCGGTAAGCCACCAATATAACATGTGAATTGGACTCGGAAGTAACGCAAAGATCCTCAAAAGGAGTACTAGGACCCAGGTCCACTCCCTTATGAGTCATGGAAGACAAGATCCTTTTCTATTTTTGTTTGGCTTTTGTATGGTGGTGGAGAGCTGCCTTTGGTTTGAGTTACTGTTTTTGTAATCTATGTGCCATTGATGGCCCGTGTGGGCACACCTTTTGCTCTGTTGGTATTAGAGCTTTGTTTTCTTTACTTTTTATGTGCAATTGATAGCCCGTGTGGGCATGTCTTCTTGAACTGTTTATAAATGAATAAAAACCATTGAAATACAAAAGGATGAAGTGGCAACCCTAGACTGTAATAGTGTCAACTGGTACATGGTTGTCAGCTTCTCAGGTACAAGCTATGCATACTTACATTGTGCCAAACAGAACAGACCTATGCAATAAAGATTGTATCTGGGGTCCATGTTTATTGTAAATATGACATTTTCCTGCTTAGGTATAGCTGTGCTTTCACAATGCACACAGTACAGTGAACTAGGAGGCCACTGAACGTTCCACTCTCCAGCACTGAGTTCATAACACGTCCCAAAAAGCGTGTCTCCAGGCCATGGAACTCTCCCTTCCACTGGCGCCTTCTTCTGCCTGGCCACACCCACACAGCCTTTGCCTCCTCCAACATGGAGGCTCGGCACGGTCGGCGCCTATGGTGACGTCACTCTCCGGCGCCCTGTCTGTTTCTCAGCCCCCCTCTTGTCTCCTGTCTCCGGACGGATCGTCTTGTACCGGAGCCGCTCTTAAAGGGGCAATGTACCGAGACGGAGCCGCGGGACCCGGCTTAGGGGGTGAGACTGCGGGCTGAGCGGCGGGAGGAGACGGGAAGGGTGACTGTGCTGCCTGTCGGGGGGGGGGGAACCGACTGTGGGGTAACGGGGCAACAGCTGAGCCTGTCACGGGCCCGGTGTGAGGGGAGGAGCCAGTGTCTGCAGGGGAGGGGGAATCAGCCAGACTTTCATCCCATGCATCCATCATGTACAGATTAGAGGTGTGTATGGGGGAGGAGGAGGGGAGGCATCATCACACCTCATACATACATCATATCTATCTATCCATATATATATGAGGGGTGTATATGACTGGCTCTATATATAGAGAGGAATTCTTCATTCTCACATCCTATACATACATTGGAGGGAATTTACTTAGACTGGAGCGGATATGCATGGCAACCAATCAGCTTTGAGCTGTTACGTCTTCAGTTAAGGTTTGAAAATGAAAGCTCAAAGCTGATTGGTTGTCTTGCACAGCTTAGTAAATTGCCCTGAGGTAACACCATATACATGTCTGCAGTGGGTCTCTCTGTATTACTTGTATGGGAGGGAGGAGACATTACCTCACACCCCTTGGACTATAAATACACAACGATCAGCCATAACTTTTTGAGCACCCACCTTATATTGAGTAGGTCCCTTTTTACTGAAGGTATGTTGTGGTGTCTAGCACCAAGCTGCCAGCATCTGATCCAATAAGTCCTGTAAGTTGGGAGAGGTGGGGGCTCCATGGATCAGACTTTTTTAGTGCATCCCATAGGTACTCGATTGGATTGAGATCTGGAGAATTTGGAGGCCAAGTCAACGCTTCAATCTCATTGTGTTCCCCAAACCATTCTTGATTGCATCAGAGCAGACCACCTTTGTCCATTGCTCCGTGGTCTAGTTATGACACTCACATGCCCATGGAGGTTAAATTGCTGAAAAAGTTCAACTAAACCCATTAAATTAAAGTGGTTGTAAACCTCAGACATGAAATATGAACAAAGCATATCCTTCTATAGTGTGTACTTGACTAAGTCCAGAGCACCAAATGTAATTACCGTTTGCTACTTCGTTCCTTTGCCATCAGCATGGATCACTTCTGATAAGTTTTCTTGACACCAAGACAAAAATGGTGACAGAGGAGGAACCTCCAGCAGACTGACAGCCTCAGCGCTGTGAACTGTGTAGAGGGGTGTGTGTCTCTTCCCTCCAATCAGCTTTCAGAGCTCTCCTCCACCCCCTACTTTTCAGAGCTGAGAGATCCTGTGTTAATTCTGCACTATGGATGGATGTAGGAGACATATGGCTGTAGATAAACATGTACAACTTATGCAAGATGATTTATTTAATCTCTGTATCACCTGAGGCCAATCACATCACTGGGTATATGTAAGGGTTTACAACCACATTAATGGTTTCAGAAAACAGTTACATTGCCAGCATGCCGGAAATACTAACTGTCACATTTTCCTGTGCTGTCAGCCAAACTGTCAAACCATGAAACTGCTGGTGTCATAACGGATCACATGTGCAGCACCATGGCAGATGCGGATCAAACAGAGGCTAAGATGGCAGCTTCCTTGGCCGAAAAGGAAAAGGGGGTTTAGTCTCACTTTAATGCTGGTTCTGATAGAAAGGTGTCACAGTTTTCTGTGTAGCCGTAGACCGGTCAGGGTGCCTATGCTGACCGTGTCCACAGCCAGAGCCATACAATGGGCAGGTGAGCATCAGAAACTGGACCACAGAGCAATAGGTGCTCTGGTCCGGTTTTCTATTACATCATGTTGATAGCTGTGTGCATGGCTTACCTGGGGGAAGAGGTGGCACCAAGATACACTATGGGAAAAAGGCAAGCCAGTGGAGGCAGCATAATTCTTTGGGCATTCTATTGCTGGGAAACCTTGGGTCCTGCCATTCATGTGGTTGTTGCTTGACATGTATCACCTACCTAGACTTTGTTGCTGATGAAGTACACCCCTTCATGAAAACAGTATTCCCTGATGAGTCGCAACAAAGAGTTTGAGGTCTTGACTTGGCATCCAAATTCTCCAGATCACAACCCAATCAAGTATCTGTGGGATATGTTTGAAAAACAAGTCTGCTCCATAGAGGCCTACTTCACAAATTACAGGACTTAAACTGACTTCTACTGATATTCTACTGATGGCTTGGTGCAGCTAATACCACATACCTTCAGAGGAGTGTCTCCATGCCTTGATAGGTCAGAGCTGTTTTGGTGGCAAAAGGGGAACATACTCAATATTAGGTGGGTGGTCATAAAGTTATGTGTGATTATTTATATACTGTACACTATATTGCCAGACGTATTGGGCCAGCCCTACAAATCATTGGATTCAAGTGTTTTAATCACCTCCATGGCCACAGGTGTATAAAATCAAGCCCTTAGGCATGCAGACTGCTTCTACAAACATTTCTGAAAGAATGGGTCGCTCTCAGGAGCTCAGTGAATTCAGCGTGGTACCCTGATAGGTTGCCACCTGTGCAATAAGTCCATCCATGAAATTTTTCTTTCTACTAAATATTCCACGGCCAACTGCTAGTGGTATTATAACAAAGTGGAAGCAACTGGGAACAGCAACTCGGCCACAAACTGGTAGGCCATGTAAAATGACAGAGTGGGGTCAGCGCATAGTGAAGTGCGCAGAAGTCACCAACTGTCTGCAGAGTAAATAGCTAAAGACCTCCAAACTTCGTGTGGCCTTCAGATTAGCACAACAGCAGTGTGTAGAGAGCTTCATGGAATGGGTTTACATCACCAAGTGCAATTCAAAACATCAGATGAAGTGATGTAAAGCACACCGCCACTGGACTCGCAGTGAAGACGTTCTCTGGAGTGATGAATCACGCTTCTCTGTCTGGCGATTTCCAGGAGAACGATACTTGCCTGACTGCATTGTGCCAAGTGTAAAGTTTGGTGGAGGGGGATTATGGTGTGGGGTTGGTTTTCAGGGGTTGGGCTTGGCCCCCTAGTTTCAATGAAGGGAACTCTTAAGACGTCCGCATACCAAGACATTTTGGACAATTTCATGCTCCCAACTTTGTGGGGACAGTTTGCGGATGGCCCCTTCTTGTTCCAGCATGACTGTGCTCCAGTGCACAAAGCAAGCTCCATCAAGACATGGATGAGCGAGTTTGGGATGGAGGAACTGGACTGGCCTGCACAGAACCTGACCTCAACCTGATAGAATACCTTTGGAATGAATTAAGAGTGGAGACTGCGAGCCAGGCCTTCTCGTCCGACATCAGTGCCTGACCTCACAAATGTGCTTCTGGAAGAATGGTCAAACCTTCCCATAGACACCCTCCTAAACCTTGTGGACGGCCTTCCCAGAAGAGATGAAGCTGTTATAGCTGCAAAGGGTGGGCCAACTCAATATTGAACCCTACAGACGAAGACTGGGATGCCATTAAAGTTCATGTGAGTGTAGAGACTGGCGTCCCAATACTTTTGGCAATATAGTGTGTGTAATATATATATATATATATATATATATATATATATATATATATATATATACTCACCAGCCTCTTTATTAGGTACACTTGTTCAATTGCTTGGTAACACAAATTGCTGATCAGCCAATCACATGGCAGCAACTCAATGCATTTAGGCATCTATACATGGTGAAGACGACTTACTGAAGTTCAAACCGAGCATCAGAATGGGGAAGAAAGGGGATTTAAGTGACATTGAACGTGACATGGTTGTTGGTGCCAGACAGGCTGGTCTGAGTATTTCAAAAACTGCTGATCTGGGATTTTCATGTACAACAATCTCTAGGGTTTACATAGAATGGTCCAAAAAATAGAAAATATTAAATAAGCTGCAGTTGTGTGGACAAAAATTCCTTGTTGATGTCAGAGGAGAATGGGCAGACTGGTCCAAGATTATAGAAAGGCATCAGTAACTCAAATAACCAAGGAATGCAGTATACCATCTCTAAACACACAAAACGAACTTTGAAGCAGATGGGCTACAGCACCAGAAGACCACACTGGGTGCCACTCATGTCAGCTAAGAACAGGAAACGGAGGCTACAATTTGCACAGGTTCACCAAAATTGGACAATAGAAGATAGGAAAAACATTGCCTGGTCTGATGAGTCTCGATTTCAGCTGCGACATTCAGATGGTAGGATCCATCCCTTTCTGACTCCAGTGTCCCCATCTTCTGATGGCTACTTCCAGCAGGATAATGCACCATATCACAAAGCTCAACTCATCTCAAACTGGTTTCTTGAACATGACAATGAGTTCACTGTACTCCAACGACCTCCACAGTCACCAGATCTCCATCCAACAGAGGACCTTTAGGATGTGGAACTGGAGAGTCACATCATGGATGTGCAGCTGACAAATCTGCAGCAACTGTGTGATGCTATCATATCAATATGAACCAAAATCTCTGAGGAATGTTTCCAACACCTTGTTGAATCTATGCCATGAAGAATTAAAGCAGTTCTGAAGGCAAAAGGGGGTCCAACCTGATACTAGCAAGGTGTACCTGATAAAGTGGCCAGTGAGTGTATATTATATAGAGAGAGAGAGAGAAAAAAGTTAGTTGTCATACCTCACACCCTGTATACATACATTGGGGGGATTTTCTACTTTTACTGTTCTGTGCGTAGTAACTAATCAGCTTCTAGCTTCAGTTTGTTCAGTTAAGCTGTGAAAATGAAAACTAAAAGCTGATTGGTGGCCATGGACAGCTACTACAGTGTTACTAATTCCCACTTCATTATATATTACTGGTAAAGCTATTGTGTCTGGAGAGGTTTTATCTCTTTCTCTCTCCCTGTATTACCTGTAAGGGAAGATGTATGGAGAGAGGAGAGGCATATGTAAGGATCACGTCCCGTACATACATGATAGGGTCTATTTATCAATATTTTCATCTAGACGAATGATTAACTCTTGGATGAATCATATGTGACAAATGTGGGAATCTTGGGTGAACTTATTGATAAAGCAGAACTAAACCCTCCTCTCCTTTTCAGCCAAGGAAGCTGCCATCGTAGCCTCTGTTTGATCTACAACTGCCATGGTGCTACACATGTGATCAGTTATGACTCCAGCCATTTGGTGGTTTGACACTTTGGAGGAGAGCACAAGCAAATGTGACAGTTAGCATTCCCGGCATGACGGCAATGTAACTTTTTTTTTTTAACTTAAAGCGATGGGTTTAGTTCTGCTTTAAAACTATACATATGTCTGGAGAGGTGGTCTGCCTCTCTTCATTACCTGTATGGGGAGAGAAGAGGCATTTTCTAATGTCATAGCCCATGGATACATTGTGGGGTATATTCACTCATGTTTTAATTGATGTGAAGAATGGATATATATATGTATATGTGTGTGTGTGTGTGTGTGTATGTATATATATATATATATATATATATATATATATATATATAAAATGTAGTGAAGGAAATAAGTATTTGATCCCCTGCTGATTTTGAATGTCTGCCCACTCACAAAGAAATGATCAGTCTAAAAATCGAATTCTTTTGAATTTTTTGTTGCTATTCTGTCTCTCAGTGTTACAATACACCTACCATTCGAGTTTTAGACTGATCATTTCTTTGTGAGTGGGCAAACATTCATCGACATATTATATAAAAAGGGGATTGTATATGTATGGGAAGCCTGGCTCTGTCTGTATTACCTGTATGAGGAGACTCTTATTTATCTCACCCCATATATACATTATATACCACTGGTAAGTCTGTGCACATGGCTGTTGATGCTGAGCAGTGTACATTAGGGCATAATTCTGTGCCTGGGAGTCACAGGTGCAGCGTACAGCCCCGCTGCCTGCAGCTTGTCAAAATCAACCACAGCCTGATATAGCAGCTGAACATTTGAATGGTACTTGCGAACCAGTATTTATGTGCAGAAAGTCAGAGATAGCATATATGTACACATGTACTACTTGGATGTGCGTATATCTTGAGTACAACCTTTTGTTCATTTTGACTGGTAGAGGACAGTACGGTGCACCTGTGACTCCCAAGCAGAGAATTACACCCGAGCATCCCGCTGTATGGACATGTGCACAAGCCATAAAACCATATATACTGTATGTCTAGAGAGGATGTCATTCTCTCGCTGTGTATTACCTGTAAGGAAATGGGAAGAGGAGGAGGAGAGGCATTCTTAAGCATAACATCCAATCCCATACATATTTAATAAGGTCTGTTTGTCAACTTTTTGTCAAAAATGCACTCAATATTCATCAAAAATTCACTTGGGTTTCTAATAGAATCTTATGTGAAAATGGGTGACTCTTTGGAGAATATATGTGCAAGCAGACCCATATATATTACTGGTAAAGCCATACATACAGTGCCTTTAAAAAGTATTCATAACCCTTGAAATTTTCTACAGTTTTTATGTTACAACCAAAAACATAAATGTATTTTATTGGGATTTTATGTGGTAGACCAACACAAAGTGGCACTTAATTGTGAAGTGGGAGGAAAATGATAAATGGTTTTCAACATTTTTTACAAATAAATATCTGAAAAGTGTGATGTGCATTTGTATTCAGCCCCTTTTACTCTGAAACCCCTAAAATCTAGTGGAACTGATTGCCGTCAGAAGTCACCTAATAAGTAAATAGAGTCCACCTGTGTGTAATTTATTCTCCTTTATAAATACAGCTGTTCTGTGAATCCCTCAGAGGTTTGTTAGAGAACATTAGTGAACAAACAGCCCTATGAAGGCCAAGGAACACACCAGACAGGTCAGGGATAAAGTTGTGAGTAGGGTTAAGTTATAAAAAATATCCCAAGCTTTGAACATCTCACGCAGCACTGTTCAATCCATCATCATCCAAAAATGGAAAGCGTATGGAACAACTGCAAACCTACCAAGACATGGCTGTCCACCTAAACTGACAGGCCAGGCAAGGAGATCATTAATCAGAGAAGCAGCCAAGAGGCCCATGGTAACTCTGGAGGAGCTGCAGAGATCCACAGCTCAGGTGGGAGAATCTTTCCACTGGACAACTATTAGTCGTGCACTCCACAAATCTGTCCTTTATGAAAGAGTGGCAAGAAGAAATCCATTGTTGAAAGAAATCCTTAAGTCCCTGTGGAGGACACAGCAAACATGTGGAAGAAGGTGCTCTGGTCAGATGAGACCAAAATTTAACTTTTTGGCATAAAAACAAATGCTATGTGTGGTGGAAAAATAACACTGCACATCACCCAGAACACACCATCTCCACTGTGAAATGTGGTGGCAGCATCATGTTGTGGGGATGCTTTTCTTCAGCAGGGACAGGGAAGCTGGTCAGAGTTAATGGGAAGATGGATGAAGCCAAATACAGGGCAATCTTAGAAGAAAACCTGTTAGAGTCTGCAAAAGACTTGAGAGTAGGGCGGAGGTTCACCTTCCAGCAGGACAATGACCCGAAACATCCAGCCAGAGCTACAATGGAATGGTTTAGATCAAAGCAAATTCATGTGTTAGAATGGTCCAGTCACAGTCCAGATTTAAATCCAATGGAAAATCTGTGACAAGACTTGAAAATTGCTGTTCACAGATTCTCTCCATCCAATCTGACAGAGCTTGAGCTATTTTGCAAAGAAGATTGGGAAATATTTCACTCTCTAGATGTGCAAAGCTGGTAGAGACATCCCCAAAAAGACTTGCAGCTGTAATTGCAGTGAAAGGTGATTCTACAAAGTATTGACTCCGGGGGGCTGAATACAAATGCACCCCACACTTTTCAGATATTTATTTGTAAACATTT